AACGTGTTTTTTCATTTGTATTTGCTTGTCAAGATTAAGTACCATAATAAACTACAACATGTATTCGTAGCAAAAATCATTTCAATTGCCGAGCTCCAATCTGAATAGTAAAAGGATACGTCTCAAGTTATTATATAAATGCAGAGGTGGGCAGTGGCGCGCTACATGTAGCAGCCGCTACATTTTCAGTAGCGGTAGCGGTAGCGCCCGCTACATATTTAAGTAGCGATACGAGGTTTTGCCGCTACAGCGCTACCGCTACATTTATAGATAAAGCCTTTAGGTTTTACTTAATAGTATTAAATATTATTTAAAAACCAGCATGATACATACATAATATAAATTACAGAATAAAACTTTACGAAAGTTTTCGGTGTAATGTTGTCAACCTCAGCCTGTTACTAGTGTCAACATGTTAGTTGTTAGTCCAGAGGTGGGCAGTAGCGCGCTACATGTAGCGGCCACTACATTTTCGTAGCGGTAGCGGCGCTACCTTTAAGCAATTGTAGCGGTCGCTACATTTAGAGCATGTAGCGGTAGCGGCCGCTATATTTCAAAGTAGCGCTGCCCAGCTCTGTTAATAAATGTATGATGGTAAACCAAAGTTTATACCACATCAATAATTGATTCGTCTCATTATGTCTCGTTAAAATGCTATAAATTCCGGGAAATTTTAAGGTGCTTATTTTAACCGGGATGTCTCGTCTCGTCTCGGTATCGTCCCAGAATTCCTACGGAGGGCTGAAAATTGTCCCGGTTTTTATTGCGAACCGGGACAGAGCCAGTTGTCTCGTCTCGTCTCGGAATAAACAAAATGCCAAACGCAGGAGTCTAGTTGGCATTGCCTAGTTAGGCTAGTTTCTTTGATATAAAATACAAAAAAGACACATATTTTATGTACAATTTTCAAAATTACTAATTAATTAAAAATTTTCATCATGTTTTCTAAAAAATTCTGTCCAAAATTCCAGATTAATTAATGTAGGACCATTTAGATTTAGAAATTAATATCTTTTACTATTTTTATAAGGCTTCAGCATTGATATATATTATTTTGATAAATTTTTAAAATTATCAGAAAAATACACACAGCAAAGCTGCCAAAGCATTAATTAATAATTGCAAATGAAGTAGCACTAGTTTGAAAATTTGTGAGAACCAAACCTTATAATTTTTTTTTAATACAACTGTTGTCCGGTCCCCAGGTGTCCACTGGCCAGTGGCCAGGTAGGATAAGCCTGATAAGGCAAAACACAGAACTTGAAGAATGAAGATAACTACGCGCACGCGGGGCAGGTGACACGTGACCATAGTAGTTTTTATTAGTGGCAAAGCAGAGAGTTTTTTAGACTCTTCCTCAAGTTCATTTTTGAGTCCTATAAGGAGACCAGTAAAGTATCATGGATACCAGAATAATCATACATAAGAAATTGGGATAAATATTGAGTAAATGAGTTTGAGGATATTAAAAATGTACTGATTATAAAAGACCACTGGTTTGCCACTATGCACGTGACAGATGAGGCCACTGAGCACTGAGGCGTGAGGTGAGGGCAAGTGGGCAACAGAGGGCTGAGGCCGCCGAGTCTAAACAATAATATTCATAATGTCATTGTCCGTGAGTCGTGACTCCGTAAGTCCGTGACTGTGGTCTGTGAGGTACTGACCTCGAGACTGAAGAAGTAGCCGCAAGATGACCCCCCAAAATTCGGAATCACCTGACCCAGCAGCTTTTCATTGGGAAATTCCAGGCATAAGGCACTACGTACTCGCCACTCGTGTGTAGTATCTTGCAAAGTTGCAAAGGACTCATGCTCATCAGCTGGAAATACGAGATAAAATTTTCGGCGCTAACCATTCCGCCATACGATAAAATCCGTTTATGATGAATCCGCGACAGAGGAACCAGAAATGACGAAAAACAATAGTGGAACTTTTCGAATTTTTATTATTTCGGAGATTTTTAATAAATAAGTGTCATTAGCTTAGAGCTTCCACCGGAAGTTGGTGGGAACATTTTCATCGCTTATTATTTACCTATCTGGAATAGATAATTCATGAGCAGTAACTTTGAAATGTGATTTACCATACTTCCTTTTAATGAAAGAAATTAGATTTAATGACTTCAATATATGACTTCATGTTCAAAAAGCCATTTTGGTGCATATGAGTAGTTGAGTACGAAACAAGGATATCTTTGACGCATCTAGTGGTATTTATAATAAAAAAACCATAGTCAAGAATGAGTATGCTGATCTATCGTATTCGGTATTGATTCATGTTTTAGGATCTCACGACACAGAGCCCAGTGACTTCTTACTAACTGATTCAAATAATAAATAATAACTTACCGATGCTACACGAGACCTTCGTCATACGTTTAGCACAAAACACAAAATTGAGGGCTTGGTCTTCCGAGACATTTCAAAAGCTTTCGACCGCGTATTTGCACACCGGCCTTGTATACAAAATCTCTATACTCTACCTGGTACCTGCACCATCATTTATAAGAATACTTATTGCTTTCGTCACAGACAGAACGGCATCTAGGAAGTTATGGCTGGTATATGAGACGTTAATTTATTATACAAATATTACGAAAGCATTTTTAGGAGCTTGATGTTGTTCTTTGCTAAGTTATGCAGGATATTTTATTATCAGAAGTGTTAAAATTATAAATATAATTGAAAAATAACACCATCGCATAAATTGCATATAAAATGGGAATAAAACGCCGTGCAATGAACAATATGCACATAGCATAACTTTTACTTAATAAGTTAGTAACATATGCTGTGGAGCTTATTTATAACTAGCAAATGCAATGCTATAAAACTGCTTCCTAAACTGAATTGTAAAAATATACATGGTTCTGAAACTTTATCTCGTAAAAAAATAAAAAAAAAACCTTGACTCAATGAACATTAATTAATTCTTATTAACAATGAGTGGAATGAAGCAAGGTGATCACTGTGAGTGTTACGAACTTTTTCTGATTATATTCCAGTACGTAACAAGAATGGGTTAAAAGCTAAAGATCTAAAATTGATGAATACTGCAAGTAAAAGGAACTGGTACCAGGAATGTGTAAAAAGCTTATACATAAGAACATGAACGTTTACATTCAAGTGGCATCTCGACAAATCCTGCACATCATGCGCGTTACATGGGGAACTGAGTGCAAACTCGGCATGTGGGTAGTATATATATACTTTGAGCTCCAGAGTTGCCGACTAGCAATTTAGGGCTTGGAAGTTGAGTTGTCGGCTAGTAATTTGTGGCTTGGAAGATGAGTTGTCGGCTAGTAATTTGCGGCTTGGAAAATGAGGGATCACATCCTTTAAATGAGAAGGATAAACATATGGACGGTATATAACTGTCCTACATTATTGCGGTCGATTTGCATTAAATTAAGGGTTGCAGCGTCCAGCACTCAACCGTTTTGTAAAGTATCCAGGATTATGTCCAAGTTTATTCATTGAGTGAAGCTTATCAACGCCAAACTGACGTGAAAATCAACCGGAAGAATAACGGCATGATAATTATCGAAGTTGTTTGATCATAAAATTATAATGAACCAGCACATAAGGGACAATCATGCCGCAACAGTCCCTTTTCACACATATAATTTCAACATTACCTGCATACAAACAGCTCAATATAATAATATAAATCACATCAATAACACACCTAGTCAATTCAATCACCAGCGCACTCTTTTCACATCATAACCAATTCACTCACCACAAACAACTCCATCATTAAGGCATATACAATATATACTCACAGTTCTATATCTTATCACTTCTAAAAACAATAAATTTCAAAAAGCCATCATTAAAATAGCACACTTCCACCAAAACAACTCCTGTAAAGAATTCCAATACTCACAGTCACAATTCATATCTAATCAATTGCAACATTAGACAGCACTCAAGCAATCATCAGCTCACTCTGCCAATAACGTATTTAAACTCAAACGCAATTCCGAAAACATCAAAAGAATTGACCACTTCCATATATTTTAAAACCTTGCCTACTCTCTCTGTATTTCACATTGTTGATTTTGCCTAAACTTGTCTAGCTTTTCCCCATCTACCATAATCTATGTAACCATAATTATTTATACCTTACCTTATCCAACCTTACCTAACCTGTACGGCTCTACTCCATCCATACTCATAATAAACTTTCCGTACTCAAAATAATGTAATTATCTCGAGCCCAACCTTACATTACCCATAATTCAAAACCCTGCGCAGCAT